GACCTGGTGCACTACGTGCCATAAATGACTCTTCGAAGATTGTGAATTCAGAGTTGACCTTACCCTAGACACACACATATATATATATATATATATATATATATATATATATATATACACACACACACTTAACTGTATATATCCCAGATAATGTATAACTGTTATGGCCCGGTTCCTTGTACCCCAGGTGATAGTCCAAGGTAGAACCAATAAAGAAGAACTCGAAGGAGGATATGGAATAACACAGATATATTACAAACAGGAATATATACAGAGAAGAAGAAAGTGTTAGTACGAACAATCAGATTTAGTAGTAATTGTCTGAACGCGACTGTTTCAGACTGCCGCTGACAGACTGACTGACTCGCTCGCTCGCTCGCTCGCTCTGATGGAACTGACTTCAAACTGAACTCTCCCTGCTTCCTCTTGAGGCGCAGTATTTATTACGTATGGAATAGATCATTATGTTATTATGGATAAGGTCCCATAACAATAACCTTACTGCCAATGCTGTCTTCATCTAGCTAATGTCGTACTATTATTTAGGAGGTTTTTCTGACCTTGAAACCCGTGTTCTAATCTCACCATGGTCGATTTGCGATGAAGGTGCCTTTTTGATGTTATCGGTCTCAAGGAGGCATCCCCGGCCTGCGACACCATTGGAAAGTTCCTGAAATCCGTACCACGAGTTGACCCAAGCCCTGTGGGTGAAATTGGGTAGACAGAACTGTTGGGAGCCGTCGATGCTTGCACAAAATCACAAGCCATTGTGACCAAGGGTTTGAACGTTCTGGTTTTGTTGATCATGCCAGATAACGCGCACTCTCCCAGAAACTGTAACTAAGGTCAGCTCAGCATAGTTGCAGTATAAACCACAGCTGGGCTCTGTGGGTGTTGAACAAACAGAAATATGTCTGAGCAGACGTTTGCAGTGGGGATTATCTAGCCACCCTAATAGAAACGCATCCTGGGATACGAGTAGCTGCGCCATTTACATTTCTGACGCATTAGGCTGTAAATGAAATCCCGCTGCATTTGATGATGCAATGAAAACTTGCTTTGGTCTTGATTGATGTTTTTAATCTAAATATTATTTCTTCACATTATTGTCTAATACCATTTATTTGAAAATAAATAATCCCTCAAGCATGACAATCCCACGTTTAGATTTATTTATGTATTCTTGAGCTCCGAAGACTGTGTATATATGGTTTTTTTTTGTTTGTTTTTTTGTTTGTTTGTTTTGTTGTTTTTTTTGGTGTTTTGGTTTTTCTTTCGGTTTATGACCAGGGCAACATTTCTCACACAGTCTCAGTCAGCCAACATACTTTTCTGAATATTGTACTCGGCGTTTGTTTTTTTTACACGACAAACCCTTAGCACAAGAAACCGGCTATAAAGTACAGAACGAATTAATATATTCTGGCCAAAGCTTGACGTCGAGTTGAATCTTGTTTATATGGATATAAGCTATCGCTTCGGAAATCTGGATCTACGAACTGAGGTCAAATTCCGGCCGAGGCCGTTGCTTTCTTTTTCGAATAAATATCACTTAGGAGAGGCACGAATCTAATCATTACCCATCCATCTATGGCTTAAATATCATGATAGATTTCGTTAGTTAGAAGCCACTTTCAGAGAAGGACAACTTCTTTTCAAAAACGGCGTGGGACGTTAACTTTTATGTTTTAATTTCATGGCCCTATCTTTCCCATCAGGAGATCTACAGGTTAAAGAAGAATGGTTTATATAGATGTATAGGTCGGGTACCTAGTTTTAGGTGAGAACCAGTCGAGTGGAAACAAAATTCTGCATTTCAAAAACTTTCGACAATGCAACTGAAAGTTCCATACATTATTTCTCGCAAACAAATATATTTTTCACTGGCAATGTAAAGATATTTACGATTGCTTACATTCTTAAGGGAACTTCGTATTAAATATGAATATCGTGTAGCTACGTATTTTTTCAGAAGAAGAAATTTGCAAAAAAAGACCTAAGAAAAAATTCTTCATAAATATTTTGTTGGACTAGTCCCTCAAGTAGGGAAGAGAATCGTGCCTTGAATATCAACACTAAAAATGTTTGCATTTTATCTATTGACCGTTATGTGTTGAGCTAATTCAAATATAAGCGCCTGGTAGAGTTCTAATGGAGTTTAATATTAATACGTGTAAAGGATGTGTAAAATTGTCAGTAATGATGCTGGTGTCTTTTTTCCGTCAAAAGCACTTGTATTTTATTGAAATTCTCGAAGAAATTTACGTTTATCGGCCTGTGATTGGGCGTTATTTACCATTATTGATTATATGCCCGATTTTCTTATTTTTTGGCAGTTTCTTTTTCTCTGTATTTTCTCTTTTTTCCCTTTTTTCCCTTTTTTTTCCTTTTTTTATCGTTTACGTGTCTTGACTTTGGTTTCTACATTTTCTTTCCTCTCGCGATCAAACGACTTTTTTTGTCTTTCTTTTTTTTACGTTCACTCTTCTTATTATTCGTCCGTTTTTCTTTCAAATTAATTCGCTTCGCTCTTTTCATCATCTTCCTCCTTTCTCAATGTTGACAGTTTTTCGTCTCTTTTCTTTTCATATTTTTTTTGTTTTTGATTGTTTCCTTTCTACTTTTACATTTTTTTCTTTCCTTTTTATTTTTCCGTTCTTTTCATTCTTTTCTTTCTTTTCGTTTTTCCTTTCTTTTTTCATTTTCCTTTCATTTTGTTTTCATTTTTACTTTTTTCTTTGCTTTTTTGTTTCTATTTTTCTTTCTTCTTTTTATTTTTCTTTTCTTTCTTTTTCTTTTCTTTCTTTTCATTTTTCCATTCTTTTCTTTGCATTTTTCTTTCTTCTTTCCATTTTCCTTTCATCTTTTCTTCTTTCCATTTTCCTTTCATCTTTTATTCTTTCCATTTTCCTTTCATCTTCTTTCCATTTTCCTTTCATCTTTTCTTCTTTTCATTTTTACTTTCTTCTTTTCTTCCTTTTATTTTTACTGTATTCTTTTCATTTTTTTTTACTTTCATCTTTCATTTTTCCATTTTTTCATTTTTCCTTTCTTTTTATTTTCCTTTCATCTTCATTTCATTTTACTTTCATCTTTTCTTCATTTCATTTTCCTTTCATCTTTTTTACATTTTCCTTTCATCGTTTCTTCTTTTCATTTTTTCTTCCTTCTTTTTCTTTTTTCTTTAATTTCTTTCTTTTCTTTCGTCTTCTTCTTTTTCTTTTCTTTTCTTTTGTTCATTTTTTTTCTTTTCCTGTTCACATTGACATATATCTTTTCTTTTCAGTCCATAAGATTGATTTTGTCTTTTCTCTCTGTTCATCATCGGCTAAATTTCTGGATTTTCCTGTTGATTTTTTTTTTTTTTTTTGCTTTATTTCTGTCTCCCTATCATTTGTTGTTTCTCACTGAATTTTCGTTTTATATTCTCTTTTCTTTTTTTAATTTTCTTGTCTCTTTTTTCTTTCTTTTCTCTTTTTATTTTATCACTTGTCTCTTTTTTATTTTCTCTTTTGTTTCTCTTTTTAATTTTTTTCCATTTTTGCATTTCTCTCTTCTCTCTTTTTTATTTTCACTTTTCTCGTTTCCTTTTTTAGTTTCTCTTTCGTCTCGTTTTTCTTTTTCATTTCCCCTCATTCGTTATTCACTTTAACGCCTCTTCTTAACCTTTGAATTTTAGTCTCTTTCACTCTTTTTCACTGTCTTGATGGGATGCATTCAACTTCTTCGCCCTCATGCACTTGGAAGTAAAATGAATCTGCTTTTGAGTTATGAGTAAAATAGCAAAACAGACTGGGCTTATTTTCCTTGGTAGGGCCACCAGCCTAAAAGACGGAAAACTTAATTCTAAACCAGTATTTGGGGGATAGGCTACTCCATGCTATCTTGCTCGAGATACACGAATGGTGACATAGCTGCAGTAAAAAGAAAAAAAATGATACCCACTAAAACCTGGCCGTGCGTCTTGAAATGGACCTCCAATCGGTTGTTAACTGGGGCAAGAATTGGCTGGTCGACTTTAACGCCTCAAAAACTAAATTACTCTCCATTAACCACCATAGAGATCCTTCCCTGCCCCCCCATCAAAATGTCTGATAGTCAACTTCCTGAGAGCAACTTCCTGCGTCTGCTTGGTCTCACACTGACGGCTGGAACAAATACATTGAGTCAATTGCTTCTTCCACCGCGAGGAAAGTTGGCTCTCTGTGCCGCGCCAGGAAATTTTTCTCCCCTGAATCGATACTTCAAATATACAAAACAACCATTCGCCCTTGCATAGAGTATTGCTGCCATATATGGTCTGGGGCACCTTCTGTTTACCTCAGAGTTCTTGACAAGATCCAGAGACAGATATGTAATATAATTGGCCCTGATCTGGCGTCTCGTCTACAGTCACTCTCTCACAGACGCGCCGTCGCCTCTCTCTGTCTTTTCTACAAATACTTCCATGGTAATTGCTCCGATGAGCTGCTTTCACTGGTTCCCAGACTCCATGAATTCAAGCGCCCTACGAGGCTGGCATCGCGCTCCCACCCTTACACTATAGAAATTTTTAAATGTAGCCGTCTCTTCTACTCCAATACCTTAATACCTTGCACCTGTCGCCAGTGGAACACCCTTCAAAATTACTGTTTCCCTGAGAGCTATAATCTCCAACTATTTAAATGTAATGTCAATCGACAACTCCAGTTACCTTGATCTACCCACTATCCTTCTCCTCATCCTTTCTTCTATCACTCCTATCCGCTCTCACTCCAAATCTTCCGCAACCCCCTGTATCCTAGTGGCTTCACGCCTTGCTTGGGGCGTAATGCTTAAAAAAAATATATATAAAAAAAAATAACTACTAATCGGTTACGGAACTCGTAGCATGATATCTTTACAACATCTGCTATATTTCTTGCGATTCACTATTGAAAGTTTCTCTTGTTTACTTCTTTTTTTTATAACTTTTTTGGTTCGCTCTCACTTCTTTTAATTTCTTTCAGAATATTTCATCGATGACTTTTCTTTTTTTTTCTTTTCTTCTCCAAACCTTTTTTTTTATTTCCTCATATTTCCTTGATAGATTTTCTTTTCCATATCAAGTTTTATTTTGGGTTTTTCGTTTTAGATTTATTTCCTGTTTTCTTTGCTTTAGCCTTACAAGACTGTGTTCACTTTTGTCTCTTTTACAATGTTGTTCATTGTTAAATAGCATTTATTTAATTGTCCCGTTTTTACGTTTTCCTAGCAGTGTCTTTTCTTACACTTTACGCTTACTTTCTTATATATTTACTCTCTTTTTCTTTCATGGTCTACTTTCCTCTCTTTCTTTCTTCCTCTCTTTCTTTTATTTTTTACTCTTTCGCTGTTATCTTTCTTGCACTCTTTCTATCTTTTTATTGCTTCTCTTTTTCTTTTTTCCATTCTTTCTTTCTTTTTCTTTCTTCCACTCTTTCCCTCTCTTCCACTCTTTCTCTCTTTTTCATTCTTTCCCTCTTTTTCTTTCTTCTTTCTTCCACTCTAATCCTCTTATTTACTTCCACTCTTTTCCTCGAAATTCAACTCTTATTTTTCTCCTACTCATTCCCATCTCTTTCTTTCTATCACTCTTTTTTTCATCTCTTTCATTCACCCACAATTTTTCTTCTCTTTCTTTTTTCTACCCTCCTCTTCTGTTTCTTTTCCTGCTCTTATTTTCATTCATTTTCTTTTTCTCTCGCAGAAACGTTGCTATAAAACATTTCATATACGCTTTTTATTGTTACGTTGAATATCGCCTTGAATAATTAAACGTGCCATATTTCAGTATTCGTAGTAAGCCTAGGAATCAAGGAAAATGCAAATATAACGCAGTTGAGAATAAACAAAATATGTTAGCTTATTAAATACTAAACGAGGCTAAAATAACGATTTCCATCGCCACTTCAATTCTGCTGAATTGTTGTCAGTGCTATAAAGGGAAATAACCTCGAACCATAAAACGGATCCTATTATACATTTACACCACACAGTCCAATAGATTTAGCATATATTTTTGCAAATTTCTTTAACGCTTTCAAAAGTACTTTGTAACTTAGGTTTGTCCCTCTTTCTTCATGTTGAGTCGAAGAAATTTTAGCTGTCGCATTTTCTTTTTGTCACTCTTTCCCGCTTTTATTCATACACTCTTTACTAATTTTTCTTTCTTCCATTTTTTACCTCTTTTTCTTTCTTTCACTCTTTCACCCTTGTTCTTTTCTCCACTCTTTTGCCATCTGTTTCTTTTACTCTTTTCCCCACTCTTTATTTCTTTCACTCTTTTTCCATCTCTTTCTTTCTTTCTTTCACTCTTTTCTTATCTCTTTCTTTCACTCTTTTCTTATCTCTTTCTTTCACTCTTTTCTTATCTCTTTCTTTCACTCTTTTGCCATCTCTTTCTTTCATTCTTTTCTTATCTCTTTCTTTCACTCTTTTGCCATCTCTTTCTTTCATTCTTTTCTTATCTCTTTCTTTCACTCTTTTGCCATCTCTTTCTTTCATTCTTTCCTTATCTATTTCTTTCACTCTTTTGCCATCTCTTTCTTTCATTCTTTTCTTATCTCTTTCTTTCACTCTTTTGCCATCTCTTTCTTTCATTCTTTCCTTATCTATTTCTTTCCTCTTTTTGCCATCTCTTTCTTTCATTCTTTTCTTATCTCTTTCTTTCACTCTTTTGCCATCTCTTTCTTTCATTCTTTCCTTATCTATTTCTTTCACTCTTTTGCCATCTCTTTTTTTCTTTCACTTCTTTCTTATCTCTTTCTTTCGTCCTCTCTTTTCCCTCTTATTCTTTCTTCTGCTTTATCCCCTTTCAATCTCTTTCTGCCATTCTTCCATATTTTTCTTTCTTCCAGATTGACCATTTCCCATTCTTTCCTTCTTTTATTTTCTTCCACTCTTTTCCTTCTTTTACTTTCTTACACTCTTTCACTTTCTTTCACTTTTCTCCCATCTCTTTCTTTTACTCTATTGCCATCTTTCTTTCGTCCTCTCTTTCCCTCTTATTCTTTATTCTACCCGCTTCCAACCTCTTTCTTCCTCTCTATTCTCTCTTCTCTGATTGTAAGTATGTTTTCTTTTTGTTACTACAGTGTAACCCGGATATAAGAGAAACTCGGATATAAGAGAGATTTTCTCTTGTCCCAAAGTGTTCACATACTTACCTAAAGAAAATAGACCAAACCCGGATATAAGAGAAACCCGGATATAAGAGACTTCTTCTTCGGTCCCGACAACTCTCTTACATCCGGGTTACACTGTACTTTCTTTAAGACTTCCTCCTTGCTTAATATTTCCGTCCATGGAATTCTCCGCATCTTTTTGTTGAAACACATTTCTGCTGTCTCCAGTTTTCTCTTCACCAGGGGAGGGGGTCCAGCATCCACTGCCATAAAAAAAGTAGTGATATTACATAGAAGATCAGCAGTCTTTTCTTTGTTTCTAACGAAATTGTCCTGTTTTTTTTTTTGTTTTTTTTTTTTTCGTAGAATGTTTAATTTTTGGGATATCTCTTTCGTAATCTAATGACTGTTGCTATTTTGATGTCGTATTGTCCATCTAAAACACTTTCCAGATATTTAAACTTCTTTACTTCTTTGATGTCGTCATCTCCTGTTCGTAGTTAGTAGCATCTTAGGTTTCTCTCTTGCAGGCGACAATACTTTCCGTTTTTTTAATAGTTGAAGCTTTATTCTTTCTATCTCGCATTCCTTTACTAACATGTCAAGACGACCCTTTCTTTGACTGCTGTCAACATCATTGCGTATCTTATACTGTTAAGGCTGCATCGACCGATAAGAAATCTTGGTTTGGTCTCCAGGTCCCTAAGGATAGTCTTGCAGTAGATGTTGAAAAAATCTGGAGACGTTGTCTTACGCTCCTTTGAATGTTCAATTCATTTTTTTTTATCTGTATGCAGGCAGTTTGCTCCCAGTATGTTCAGTATCGATCTAACATCCTGTTTATATAGGTCTAGTTTTCTTCACAGTTCGAGTTCTAGTCCGATCACAAAAGTTAAGGAAGGTCAAGTCAGGTCAGTACCTAGATTGGTGACTACTTGGTAATAACAGCTGATGTAAACTTGGACGGGCGGGTGGTTTAATGTAATGAGAAATCGGAGAATTGAGTTTGAATTCTGGTCGGGTCTGTTACATTCACCAACTCGCAATTACTCTTGGGTAGGGTATGGATTCACCTCTTCTACCTCGTTCCACCTATTGGTAAAATAATGAAATATGAAAAAATATTATGATCACCAAACAATTAAGACTATAATCAATTGCAAAGGAATAAAATAATTATTCGTATAAACCAAAACTATGTTTTAGTTTTTAAACTAAACTTACAAAAGCTACAAAGCCGTAAAAAACTTTTCAGAATGTATAAGGCGAAAACAAAACTTAGAGAATCTATGAAACGTAAAAAAAAAACAATCTGTAAGACATAAATCGACCTACAAGAACTATAAGGCGTAAAAAACCTACAGAATCTATAAGACGTAAAAAAACTTTACAGAATCTATGAAACGTAGAAATATCTCTACAGAATGTATAAGACATAAAAAAAGTTCTACAGAATCTATAAGACGTAAAAAAGCTCGACATAATCTATAAAACTTAAAAAAAAACCTACAGAATATGTAAGACGTAAAAAAAAACACTGAATCTATAAGACGTAAAAACATACAGAATTTATAAGACGTGAAAAAACCCTACAGAATCTATAAGACGTAAAAAACCCTACAGAATCTATAAGATGTAAAAAAACCTACAGAATCTATAAGACTTAAAAAAGCTAAAGAATCTCTAAGACGTAAAAAAGCTAAAGAATCTCTAAGACGTAAAAAAAATCTACAGAATCTCTAAGACGTAAAAAAACCTACAGAATCTCTAAGACGTAAAAAAAACTACAGAATCTCTAAGACGTAAAAAAACCTACAGAATCTCTAAGACGTAAAAAAGCTAAAGAATCTCTAAGACGTAAAAAAGCTAAAGAATCTCTAAGACGTAAAAAAGCTAAAGAATCTCTAAGACGTAAAAAAGCTAAAGAATCTCTAAGACGTAAAAAAGCTAAAGAATCTCTAAGACGTGAAAAAGCTAAAGAATCTCTAAGACGTAAAAAAACCTACAGAATCTACAAGACGTAAAAAATCCAACAGAAGTTATCAGTCGTAAAGAAACCTATAAAATATCTAAGACAAAAAAACTTTTACAGAATCTATAAGACGTAAAAAAAAAATACAGAATCTGTAAGACGTAAAGAAACACACGAAATCTGTAAGATGTAAAAAAACTGCAAAATCTATAAGACGTAAAAAACTTGACAGAATCTATAAGACGAAAGAAAAAAAAACAGCTCAATAAATCAGTCTGTTTAAATGGAAACACTTATTTTTATTGATTCATTAACTATTTGCATTAAAATTAATTCTTTTTATTTGTAACCAATCAATTACACATATTAAATCTCATAATATTTGCTATTCTACGTTGAATTATTCTTATTAAAATGTCTCGATTGTGTAAGAGCCTTGATATGAGTCAGCAAACCTTTTTGTTTTAGTGTTATGGATTGCGTTGACAGTGGGTCAAATGAATGCGATACTGACACTGAAATACAGGTAGTATCATATAATAATTATGCTTGTCCCTCCCTTCGTTAGTTTCTCAGTTTGCACTACCGTTACGTTCCGCCAATACTTCATAAATAAAGGTCAGTTCCGTTTTGATCACTAAAGACAAAAACATATCAAAGACGTTAGTTGATTTCAGTGACACAATCGAAGGGGTTTGTTTTGTTCAGTTTTACGGTATATCAACCTCAATGAGTTATTTAATGCTGACAATTTTTATTGCTGGTAATATATATCGACATATATATTTTCAAAATGTATTGCTGGTAAAAAATTTTCCTTCAGAACTCTATTTCTGGTAATATTTTTTCTTCAAAAATATATCGCTTGTAATATTTTTTTTCAAAAAAGTATATCAGGTAATATTTTTTTAATTTACAAAAAAGTATAACTGGTAATAATTTTTTTACAAAGATTTTTTGTATTAAAATCTGTTTTTACACTTTCATGGGCTTTTTACCTTAGTTTGGAGGATAACTATTTACCCATAGCTGGGACCCTAACAGGTGTTACCATCCCCGGTCAGGGTGAACCAGGGAACACCAGCAATTAATAGGTGGTTCCATGCGTCTCAAAGCCTCGCTGTTGGACGTATTTTGTAGTCTTACTCGGGTCGCGGATGTAGTTTATCGTCATACCCAGGACGGTACTTGGAAAGTCTGGCATTTTCAAGACATATTCAAGAAAAGGGGTCTGAGCGAAACAACGTGTAACCTATCTTTTCAAAGATATAGTAAAAAGACAAATACTACTATGCGGTGCAAAGAAAAGAAGGTTGTGGAGAGCTATAATCGTCACGTCCTGAACGGTGATGATATAAAAATGAAGAGTTAACAAGCTAGATTGTAAATCTTTAGCAGTTAATTTGATTCTCACTGGTTGCTCAATACTTGTGACAGTGGATTAGGATATGCTAACATTAATCCATAATAGGATGCCTCATTGTCGTTATCTGAGGCAGCAGTTAATAAAGGAGGGTCTGGAGAATGTGATACTCACAGGTCGAATAGAAGGAAAGAGAGGCAAGGGAAAGCAACGCATGACATACCTGGCGGGCTTAAGCAAGTGGATGACAGAACATGGTCTCGCGCAGATGGCAGATGGGCGAAAATTATTGAGAGCGACGGGGGCAAGTGGGGAGCCATGATCGCCTACGTCCTGAAAGAACACGACACATGATAAGAAAAGAAGTTTCATGAACCAAGTAAAAACTTGGCAGTGTTGCCCAGAACCAAGTAACACAGTAAAGAAAAGTCACTATAAGGGAATTCGATTCGCACTTGGTGCCCTTCGCACGCTGGCTTAGTAAGGCTGATCCTGTTTCTAATTTTATGAAATTAAAAGATTCGGAGCTAAATAAAGAAACATGCTGCAAGTGCATGGAGGAAGTATCTAATTACATCGACCAAAACACCACAGACATGGAGGATTCTGATCGACCACACTGTAATTATATAGATTATTATCATTAATATCCTTATTCTCGTGCTTGTGATCAGACTAAGAGCCAGTGAGCTGAATAACTTTCCTGGGGAGCTATGTTGCATCAAGTAAACTTCAAGATAGTATTTGAAACTTCAGCAGTCTTCAGCCTCCGTGTTCCCTACAAAAGAGTGTGTCAAAAGAATAGTTTTTCCCTTGACATTTCTATTATATTATTTATCTTCTCTGCAATGTTTATTGTTTAAAAAAAAACGATGATTATAATTGTATTAATATCTAAACAAAAAGGGAATTTATACGTTTTTTGGTTCTGGAGAGTTGACAACAAAAATATTAATCTTTTTTAATGAATTTATTACATTGTTTATTTACATTATTAATCTTATTGCCTAAATAGCCTTTCTTGGGGTGAAAAGATTAAAAAATCATTACTTAAGCTTTGTCTTTCTCTTTAATTTGTTTTATCTTCATATTACTTGAAATATATTCCAGCAAAAAATGTTGATATTGTCACAAGAATTGATTTATGAAATTCTTTGTACGCTTCATTTCGACGCCCGGAATTTCGGACATCTCGTCGATTTGACTGCTGATTATTTTTTTATTTTTTCAGGAATAGGTTCGGTAACCGTTATGGCCCGATGGCGGGCAAGGTCATCTAAGAGAATAATTTTTTTTTCAAAGGTTCATTCTGACGGATGCCTTACAGAATTTTGCTGACTTAATTTAGCTATATAATCATTTCACCCAAACCAAGGCAATAATGTCACTAAGACGCAAGGTGGGGACTGAAAGAGAATTAGAAGAATTCAGAATAAACCAGAAACTTATTCCTAAAAAGGATACATACCTACTCCTATATATATATATATATATATATATATATATATATATATATATATAATATTATTTTAGACAATGTGTAAGAATTGCGGACATGTTTTGGGACGGTAATCGAGAACCTATACTGGCTGCAAACCGTCTCGAAACAG